TGACAGTCATTCGTGCTGTGCTAAGCATCATGGGAAACAGATAATCTCTTGAACCATAAGGGGGCAGTGATGCACCATGAACTTCTGTTAAACAACGCAAGTAGATCGTACAACAAGTTTTGCTGTCGCTTGTCTATATAAGTACTTTCAGGCTTGTTGTGCTTCTGCTCATTTTTGATCATGACTTGCATCTCTTTCAGTAGTGCCGGTTAACCACTCTTTTTTGAGGCCTCTTCAAACTGCAGGAAACTCCACAATAAAGATGAGGTATTGGAGGGAATTTTGGGATGACACTCAAATTACCAACAGTATTTCTAAGCATTTTGAGGTTCATTAAGTCCTCAGGTTGTTATCTTTTCCAAGGAAAAGAGGCAGGGTTTTCCAGCGCCCTAGATAGCAAAGTTACATAATGTACGCCTGCGCTCTTTGAATGGTTAACGAAGGTTTGGTCTTGAAGGATTACTAAACCATAATGCTTAATCTGCAGGTTATAACAGAGCGAGAGGGAGGGAGAGGCTGATACCTGACAGTGCTTACACACGGATAAGTACATACACTTTAGCTCATCATGCACACAGACATGTGACTGTGTGTTATTTCAGGGCGACCTATCCGCTCTTGGCTGCTGGTGGCCCTGGGTTGAGAAGCGCCAACAGAACTGGCCTGACCAGGAGCAAAGTTGAAAACTCCACCTTTTTCCTGGCGATAAGACCAAATTCATACTCTTGACCACTCAAAAACTTTCCTAGTAGTGTCACTAAAGTTTCATCTTTTCTTATTTTTTCTTACATTTTCATTTGTCTGCCTGTTGTGTCCTTTTGAAACTTAACCTACTTTTCACCTTCAAACCACATATTATGTAACTGTTTTAATAGCTCTCCACCCAGGTTGGAATTTTATTTTCTAAGGTGTGTGTCTGTGTACCTGTGTGTTGTGTGAACAGTGTGCAGGTGACTTGGGTAAAGAGAGTTTTGACAGCAGCGGCTCTGTGGTTGATCATTAACACTTCAGCAGACAGTGCTGGTGATGTTTGTCCTCAGTGACCCGTTGCAGCAGTTGGATCAAGTGGTAGTAAGGTGACATGACACAGCAATGAACAAAAGATATGTAATAACTTAAACTTAAAATGCTTTCTAAAATATTAAACTGTGATACCAAGAGAGAAGCATGCTGTTTTAAGTTTGTAATTCTTTTGAGCTTGAATCTGTCTTATCAGTACTGAACCAGAAATCACTTTTCCATATAATCCTGCAGATTCTAGGAGATAGGTTGGCAAATGTTTTGACAAAGGGTGATAAAATCAAAACTTACTTAATGTATTTTGTCATGTGAGACCTGAGCACTTTGGTGATCTTTAACCAGTCTGCTCTTACAGAACAGGCTAGGAAGTTAATATTTGTGAAAACACAAACACACACCGATCTCTTCTTTTTGTCTGTGCTGTTTACACTTTGTGGTCATTGTCCATCACCATAGCAACACATCCTGCCATTGGTTCAAAGGGGAAGAAGGTTTAAAGACACAATGTACAATGGTAGCCACAGCTGAGGTTACTGGGTGTATACAGTCCAGCCACTAATAATCTTAAGAAGCATGCTGCTCATGTATTTAGGATATTTAAATGTATTGTAAAATATAATATATTGAAAGGTCACACAATCGTTATATGAGGCAAATTTGTTTGTTTTATATGGCACTTTAATTTTAAGCTAACAGCTATTTTTCTGGCTGTGGAAAATATAACTCGTTGTAACAAAGTTTAACACAGTGCAATATAAAAACTGAGCCAGTTTGATAGACATTAACGTGGGTAAACACACTTGTTTGTGTAGTTTGGTGCCAAGTCAAGACTGAATCTGCCATAAATAATGAATTTATTTGATAATAGTTGTAATTTTTGGACTTTCACTTCCTAATATGTTTCACTTTTACTAATAGTATGTGTGTCTGCGTTTATATTTTTTGTTACGCTACTCTCCTGCACAGGGTTGGAGCATGCTATCGTATTTTATATCTGTAGTTGGTTGGGTGTACCACTCATCCTTCACTTACAACCCCAAATCAGAATAAGTTGGGACAGTATGTAAAATCCAAATTAAAACTTAAAATTGTGATTTGTAAATCATCTGTGTCCTGTATTATCTTGAAAACAATACAGCAGCACATTATTTGATGCAATACCTCATCAATTTTATTGTTAGTTCAAAATAAACACTCATTTTAATTCTGATCTCTGCAACACATTCCAAAAAAGCAGTTGGGCCAGTTGTATTTCAGGACCACTAATGAGGTAAAACAATGAAATGATGATTTCAGTTGAAACAGGTGACTGCAGATATGATTTGGTACAAAAGTGGCATCCAGGAAAGGCTGAGCCCTTTAGGAGCAAAGATGGGCCGAGGACCGCTGGTTTGTCAACATATGGGTGAGAAAATTATTGAAATGTTTAAAACAATGTTCCTCAAAGAAAGATTGGAAGGGATTTGGATATGTCGCCCTCTATGGTGCAGAAACATCATTAAAAGATTCAAGGAATCTGGAGGGATTTCAGTGCATAAAGGGCAAGGACACAAGCCTAAGCTGGATGATTGTGCTCTCAGATCCTTCAGACGGCACCGGATCAAGGATCATCTTCTACAAACGATATAACCACGTGTGCTTAGGATTACTTTGGCACACCTGTGTCAGGCACTACAATATGTAGTTACATACATAAATTGCTGCTTAAAACTGTACTGTGCCAAAAGCAAGTCCAATGTCAACAGGCCAGCCGAGGACTATGTCTCTCGGCTGGCCTGGGAACGCCTCGGCCTTCCCCCGGAGGAGCTGGAGGAAGTGTGTGGAGAGAGGGAAGTCTGGGTGACTTTGCTTAGACTGCTAACATTTTACATCCCATGTTTTACACACTTTTTAGTCAGGAACTGTCAAGATCAGGACTCTAGAGCAATACATCTGTTTTTGAACCCTGAGGAAATCCCCACATTCACATTTTGACATGTGTAAATGTTACTTTGGTGCAGAAAATATCTTTAATAAATGTGCAGTATGTGGGGAAATGGACAGCATACAAATTGTGTACATTTGATTGTGACATATCCACAGTCACACAGTCCCATGGCTGGTCCACCATGTGTTCTCACCACAAACAAACCACAGGAGAGTTTTTTGTGGAAGTGGGTCAGGAATAGTGTTGAAATCAGCCTAAATGAAGCAGACCAAAAATAAGGTCCATATACAAGAGTTTGTTTGAAAAATAAACAGCAGCTTCTTCACAATATATTTAAGACATAGCAAAATATCAGAGTAATGCAAGTTACTAAGAAGCAGCCACAGGGTTTCATGGAAATAAGATCTTCCTATGCTCATTTCTTAGGCTCTGTAGCCACCCCCACGTGTTCTTTGGAAATCTGATTTAACCTAACACATACAAACACTTCCAGAGTCACATTTATCTCAACATCCTGCACGAACAAAGTCTGGATACTCAGAGCAGGACTGGTCAAGCACAGTAAAGATGTGTCATTGTTGTACAATAATGTAAGTTCCATTTGCAACACACATAAAATGTCACATTATTTCACATTAATGCAACGTCCTCTGCCAGTTTTTCAAAAGTACATTTTATTTGTCAGTCTTTGAGCTACTGAGAGCAGTTACTGTAGTGTGTGTGTGTTTTCTTTTCTTTTCTTTTTTTGAGGTTGCAGCTTTGCTAAGCAGAATTCAGTATGAATTGTTGGTGGCTATGGTAGAGGGTTTCTCAACACTGGGAGTATAAAGAGAAAATTGCACAAGGGTATGCAAATGGTTTCACAATCAAATTTCCTAGAGAAGCTTCATCTAAAATTTCCACAGAAGTTAGAGCCATATGTGTAACTCCTTAGACTTCTCTGCCCAAAATAAAAACCATCTGAGATGACGGATGGAAAGACAATGCTTTAATGTTTTGTGAAAGCACTTCTAATTACAGTTGTGAGTCTTTGTTGATATGTCTCACCTTTACAGATCTAAGTTTCCGGAATTTTCCTCCATTCTCCTCTACTGTGTTATTTAAGCTCAGCCATGACAAGTATCTGTCAGTGACCGAAGTCAGGTTATCCCAGCTTTTTAGGCCAGATAGATTATTATCAACCATGAACCTCTTGTGAATTTGATGTAGCTAAGCTGCTTTTAAAATTGCTTGCAAACCAATGATGGTAAGATGATGTCATGGGGTAGGACTGGATAAGTCTGACTTCTTCCTACTCCATTCAAGCATGTACTAGGTATAAGCAAATTGATATTGGATTGTGTGTAAAAATGTGTGTTGTTATACCAACTGTTTTATATGCTTGAAAGAATAAATCAAATCAAATCAAATCAAAAGACTTTTTACCCAAATTGGCAATTGCATAGTACAGGCTACTTAAGGGAGAGATGATGGAATGCATAGTAACAGTGACCACCCAGACTACCAGCTGTGTATTTATCCAGAGGTGCCTTTATTCTGTCATCTCTAACATTTAGCACAACACTCTGTGCTACAGAGGAACAGATAAAGAGGCATGCACACATGCAGTTGGCTACTCTTTCTTGGTTTCTGTTGATTATATGAATTCATATAAAGTGCATAAATATTACTGACTCTGGGCCTAATGAACGTGATGATGAATGTGGCATATGTGTCTTGAACTGATACACAGCCAGCAGGTTGGAGTTTGTTTTTTTTTGGAAAGCAGACAGTGTTTACAACATAATGTGAATATTGTTGACTGGATCAACACACTTATTATCCAAGTTACTATCATCCCAGGTCCAAGGTAAAGTTATCACTATTATTCTGTCTCTCAAATGTAGTGAAGATGTTTCTAAACTGTACATGTGAAGCTGAAAGTCATGATTAATGTAGTGAAGCTGAAAGTCATGATTAATGTAGAGTCTTTACATTGTGGACTGGCCTATATGTTACTCAGAAAGCATATAATGAGCGAGCATTCAATGCCCATTAAAAATGAGTCAGAAAGAACAGCATACATTCATTTCTTTATTCAGAATTTTAGTTTGTCCCTTTGAGGCAATTAAAAATATAAGATTTTATTTTTGCTGCTTTTTGCTCACATTGGGTTTTCACAGACCTTGTAATATTTCTCTATAAATAAAGTACAAAATAGTTTTTTTCGTGTTAACGCACAAATAAATATCACAATAAATATATCAGTTTAAGTTAAACAACAAAAGACAACCACTAACCAAAAGGAATACTGCGCTGTTAAAGTCCCTGAACCAGGTTGTCAAACAAACAGAAGACCAAAAAGATGGGCTACAGTTTACATGTTAGCATACAGAATGTTTTACAGAATCAAACCTCAGCTTGTCAGGACACATCTGTTCACATCTGTTCTCTGTCATACACCTTTCTATTAGCACAATTTGATCTCTAAACATTCTGCAACATATAAATGCTTGCACCCCAGGTCTCAGAAAATTTACAGGGTTACAAACATACACCCATGCATGCATATAGTCAGACACACACACACACACACACACACACGCGCGCACACACACATGCACATACATAGCAGAATGACATCTGAAGCTTTGGTAGGATGCTACTGGGAGATCTGACAGTTCCTCCCATTCGAATCAGCTGTAAAGTGCATATCACAAATAAAATGGCATCAATGACATATGTCAGATTTCACTGATTATGGCTACTGAATCAAACATACTGTTTGTGGCACTGAGCATGACTAGCCTCGGAGGCAGGGAGAATCATTAAGGCACATGAATTCATGATTATTACTAATGATTTACAGAAATTGAACCAGACTATTTACTTTAGGTACTGTCAAAACCTGGTGAGTTATGGAAGACCACATATAAAGGTCTAATAAGCTACATGTTCATTTAAAGTATAAAAATAGAGTCTGATATTAGGGTACTAAATTCATCTCAGTGTGTGTAGTTTGTCCGAGATGAGTTCCATTTTTACAAACATAAATTAAGATCTTTAAGTGTTACTGTGTCATTTACATTTGACTTGTGCCCACCAGTTCTGGTTCTGACAAAAGCCTGGACAGACAGACACACTTATGAAGTTGTCAGTTCTCTTCTGTCTCTTTTCCCTTCCACTTAGTCAGACAGGGACAGGCGTTCAAAGACAGTGAGCCTCTTGGTGGCTGATCCATCAAATGTAGGGGACTCGGTTCCACTGGAACCTCCGCTGCTGCTGCTGCTGTAGCTGTCCTCCAAGGAGTCCTCAGAGGAGAAACGCTGGAGTCCAGCAGGCTTCGTGAATGCCCCATGGCCTCCGGGACCAGGGAGGAGCAAACTGCTGTCTTGGTGGTACCCATCCTCCTCCAGGCTGTTGAAGACTCCTTTGTTATTGCTGCTAAAGTTATTTCCATGGCCACACACACAGCATGAGGCCTTTGGCTCCAGGATGAGGGGAAGGTTGTCGATGTCTCCGACGCTGGCACGGGTCTGATGGCTGCCAAACTGGAATGCTACTGGTTCCCGCTGCAGGGAGTCGGCAAAGATTGGGGAGAGTAGATCAGCGGGAGGGGGAGAAACAGAGGGAGCACGGCTGAATGCCAGGTTAGGATCATGGAAGGCTGAAGGGAATGATGGAGGAGATGAGCTGCGTGAACCCAGGAACCCAGCAAAGCTGACACTTTGGCGGAGCCGGTGGCGTTGATCATGACCACTGATCTCTGTGGGAGTCAGTTGCTGCTGATTCTGGAATTTAGCAGATGGTAATGGGCCTCCACTGATTTTCTCCTCATGGATGAAATGGCAGCGTGAGCCATAAGGGCAGTAGCCGAAGTTGTAGAAGGTTCTGCAGGGCTCTGTCTTGTACTTGGGGTGGCGATACATTCCTCGCAGCTCTGCCTCGCCGTGGGCAAACTGGCATTTATTGCCGTACTTGCAGCTGCCTGTCTCCTGGAAGCCACGGCACAGCTCAGTCTTGTAACGGTTAGAGGACTGCACTGGCGGGAACTGAGCTGGGAGGCCAGAGGAGGGAGGGAATCCTGGCGGGGGAGCCACAGTAGTAGCAGAGCCTGAGGGAAGGGGATCCATGTTCCTCTGCTGTACGAAAGAGGAGAGCAGGCAGCTGCTGGACTCGGTCAGACTCATGGAGCGGTCGGGCCTGAAGGAAAGCTGTTTTGGTTTGGAGACAGGCGCCTGACTCCAGATGTTGGATGGCCAGAAAGGGCTGCTATTGTTGTCATTGTTAACAAGCTCTCTGCTCAGGCTGTGGCTTGAGGAGGCAGGAGGGGAGTGGGGGCAGAAGAAGGAGGCCGACCGGTTGAACCGGCTTTGCTCTGAAAGTCTGAGTGGAGACTGTGTCGGGAGCAAGGCATCATCCAGGGGCAGGTTGATAAAATTCTGTTGCAAAAGGTTGAAATGCTCTGCTCTGAAAGTCTGAGTGGAGACTGTGTCGGGAGCAAGGCATCATCCAGGGGCAGGTTGATAAAATTCTGTTGCAAAAGGTTGAAATAGTTACTACACCGACACCCATACTGCTCAGATCAAATTAATATATATTGAATATTCTTCATTTTTAGATTCTTTTTTATTAAAACATTTTCCAAGTTAGTAATATTTCAACAATAGATTACATCAGAACTTATTTAGATCATAGTTTCATTTCTTTAAAACAGAAATGAGAGTTCTTGCATACAAAAATGCCAAAGTTATAAAGATAGGGAAAAAAAACTGTATAAAAGTTATTTAATGCTTAACTGCAGTTTATATGCAACCGCAAAATACAAGTTAAATGTACATAGCAGTGACACTGGGATATAGACTTTAAAAAAGAAACAATGTAGCACTGACTCTCTTTCTTATGTTATTATCTCTTTAAACTGAAGAAGAGCTTTGTGACTGAACTCAGTTTAAAAAGAGTCAAGACAGTGTAATAAAAAGAGCAGTGATAAACAACAGAGTTAACCCTCTCCGACTACAGGAGGCCTTGCTTTTTCCAAAACAAAATGAAAGATTGAAAAACTTGGACTCACCTTTGTGATGTCTTCAAGCATTTTGGACATGCTGTACCCCTTTGGTCGAAAGAAGAAGAAGGTCTACAGTTGACTGTTGATGCCTGTGTCCAGACTTCAGTCAAGTTAAATGTATTTTCCGTCCGTTTGTCGACACGGTTTTATCTATCAACACCGCCCATGGGTGGAGTCTGTGAGGCAACTTAGGCAACTCACCACTTATGTTCCCGGATCACCCTGCCTCTGCCTCAAGTTTCATCGTGACCTCAGCGATGGGCGGGTAGTCAAACAACCAAACACAAAATACAGAGAAAAAAAACTCAGACAGAGAGAGAGAGAGAGAGAGAGAGAGAGAGAGAGTGGAGAAGAATTGTATTTCAAGCTTGCTGCGTGAAATGTTTCCATTTCATAGACATCTGAAAGCAAAATAGCTCACTGACATGGCCCCATCTTGTCTGATAGCAGTTTACTTCATGTACCTGTGTTTATTCTCATTCTATACATGATCATTTCTGTGAATGATGACTGGTTTTATCTGCAGAGAGTGACAAATCATTGCAGGGGATCAGAGGCACCCAGATGTGAAGTGGAAAACACTGGTTGTTGTTTAGAGCTGATCTTTTTCATTTCATGCCCAAAAACACAGAGCAGTAGTAAAGTCCTGATCCATAAACTCAGGTATGTAATCTTATATTTATAGTCAATAGTACACAATTAAATGTGCCAAAGAATGGGAGTGCAGTCATATAGAAGCTCAGTACACTTGTTAAATTATGTTTTTCTGTTATTTGAACGAGGTGTCAGGCAGTGCCGTCATAAATCTCTTATGACTGATAGTCTGGTTTCAGAAAGTGTTATAAATCATTGTGTTCCTGTTCACATACAGTCTAGTTTTTGAGTGTTTTTACCCACAGAGAGGTGAGAATATATTACCATGCAGCTACATTTCTCTTTACTTCAGCAGTTACCAGAACACAACCAACACAAGTATTGAGGAATAAATCCAGTAACCTGGACTAAAAACAAGAGAAGTGAATCAAAATCAACAACAGAGACAAATAATCTAAACTAAATTAAGCTGAACTTTGGACTCTCATCTGTTATCTGTACATTAAAAACATTTTAGATTTTCACTCAGAGATACGTGTGCATGGGCCATATTTCAAATTTCTATCTGACAGTCATCAGGTAAATGTTGTAATAATTCACTGTTTTCTTCACTTTTATCACTGTTTTTTATTTACAAGTCACATGTTTATTATGACTTGTTACAGACTGTCACATTTTTGAAGCTGTTTTTATGGAAAATTCACACTTTATGGCCCACAATGGAAATAGGTCGTCACTTTTCATCTTGTCAAATAAATTTCACAAACAACTCTGAAGATCTAATCACCAGAAGGTTATTGTTGATGATAAATGATATTTTCAGCTGCTGGTTTCTATGGTGAGCATCACAACGGTTGTGTTTCTTTCTTCCCTTCTCACTTGAATTCAGGGAGGCATGGTGGTTGTCCCCATCAGCTGTCACCCCCCCTGCCCTGAGAACATATTACAGTAACATAGTGAGTGTGAGTTTGTTGTCATCTGACCTTTATGTCTGTCACAGACTCCTTCCCTGTAGTCTAAATACGCTCATATCACATTAAGCCAATTATACAGCTTATAATAGACTTCTTTACTTGAGCCAAGCCGTGGCACTGACTCAGTTTATTTGATCAAACCTGCTTTCCTGTGCTTATTGCTGATTAAATCAGAAGCTTGACTCGTATAAAATGATACGTAATTGTGATGACTGTGATTTAGCAGTGAGATAAGGGAAAAAAACGGGGATATCTCTGAAACTTTCAAGGAAAGAGACCCCTGACTTGGTGAAACTATACATTTATGTCTTATGTTTTGTTTCTACAAGTTTGTTGTGCTGATATCAGCTAAATCAGGAGACTACATTCTTTTCTGCACTGCTGCGTATGTCACCCACCTACATGAGTCATCCCCAGTGCTGGCAATGACAGCGCATATGTTCTAATAAATTTTGTGCAAGTGTACACAAGTCATGGCAACATTAAACGGAGAACAGAAGAAGGGTGCCGCCAGAAAAAAAACATCAGACCTGACCTGAGGGCAAAACACAAAATTTTCAAACTGTGGATGAAGGTACACGATATGCTGAACAACAAGTTCAGGAATAGTACTTCTTAATAATTTAAAGTGAAACAAAAAAGTGACTTGTACAGTAGGTGTGGATGTTTTTTTTTGCCATGTGACCAGATTCTTATTTGAAAACAGTCAAAAGTATTCAAATACTTTTGTGAAACTATTACAGTATCTGCAAATATCTTCAAGACACACTGAGGTATGACACAGCTGCAGTTTCACTGCAACTTACAGCCAGAACACAACACATCTACGTTCTTGTGTTCGTTGTACTTTCAAGCAGACAGATGGCCCAACCAACTGAAACCAAACAGGCCTCTCATGTTCAACTATTAATAACTCAAGCAGATATAAATAACCAACCTAAATATAAATGTGACAGCATTAGACATGCTGGAAAATACATTATGAGCTTGTCTAGAGGTTGTGGAAAAATTCTCCTCGTCTTTCTCATTTTTCCTCCACGTTCCTTGGTCCAGTGAAATGGGTACAGTAAGGAAACAAATGACATGTGTGTTTATATGTGTTTCTGCGCTTGCTTGTGTGTAAGCGTGTGTTATAGTTACCTTGCTCTACTTCTTTCTGTTCTGTGGCCTTAGTTCCATGGAAAGTTACTCTATCAGGAGGCTCACTCACTCTCACACACACCCATGCGTGCATGGTTGTTTTTATCTCTCGTGAGGACTTTACGTTCCCTCGAGACTCACCGTACCCTTAACCCTAACTACTACTTGCTTAACCTGAACATTATCTTAACCTTAAACCAAGTCGTCGCCGTAAAATTCAGTGATTTACTTGGTGGGGACCATCATCTGCTCTGTTGAAGGAAGGCGAGTGAGAGTTTCAGGATATTTGTGTCCCCAAAACACGCCACACACGCACACATTCCTAGGGAACAGAACTTTAAAGGAGCGCTCCTGCTCACAGTGGCTTCCAGGCCGTTGTGTCATGGTTGTTGTTTTCTTTTGGTGACTGAGTGAGTTATTAATGCACTGGGGGTTTTCTTAAGTGACATGCCAGTGTGTGCAGCCTTCTAACATGTTAGGCCATGTTTGTACAATGTCACGTCAGTTGTGTTTTAAAAGAAAGTGCAAGTTTGAGTAGACCATGGAATAAGCTGTAATACTACACAGCATTCATTGTCTCCACAATACCACAACACCCAAAAGCAATGCTGTATTTCCTTGATAGTTTGACCACAATAACATGAATCCTTGACCATGAAAACCTACTCCTAGTATTTTAAATCACACTGATAGACAATGATACCATTTCATTATTGGATTACATTACTTGGATCCATATCAAAGTTTGGTGTGACATTATATATGGAGTTAAATGCAAAAATACTGAACTTGGCCCTATCTCACAAAGAATCCTCTCAAAAATTCCTTGATCCAGATTATGATCCAGATTGGCACCAAAGTTAATGGACTGCACCATGGGTCATACACTACCTCTCCAAAAATTAAAGCAACAGACAAATGTCAGTAAAAACAAAATCTCCTTGGCGGAGATGCAAGGCAGAGGCTACTCACTGGAGAAAATTAAAGCACACAAGATCTAAAGAACCTAGATAATCCATGAAGAGCAAACACGCATTTTTCACAGTGAACCTTTGCGATAAACTGTGTGTATTTTATCAAACTGTAATTTTTCTACCTACTACAAAAATAATAGGTGGTTTAATGTGGTTGGCAGAGGAAGGGGTACGTGCGTTCGGGCGTGGTCCTGCTACTGAACCTCAGTTTAAAATCTCCAATGTGAAAGTTTTTTTCAGAAAATAAATCCAAACTAAAAGACTTTATTCTGCTGTGACATCTTCAGATAGAATAAAATACTTTTTTTCTTTCCTGTTATAAATAAAAACAAATTAGCATGAACGTATTTCACTATAAATTGATATGTAATTAAAGAAAATGAATGAGATGCAGAAGACAAAGTTATATAAACTAAACCCTACATCCCAGTGGCTGGTTAGCTTCTCTGTGCACTGCGACTGTGACATGTGACTAAGCTGTATGGATGGGCCATTTACTAAATTAGGCCTACGTTTATAAATTGTGTAGTATTTGCTTTAGCGCTGAACTGCATCAGGAGACAGGAGATCATTACAAGTTATTTCCT